CACAATGAGTACACTGAGCACATCACTTGGTCCAGAGTAGATCAACGTTCAACGTTTGTTTAAAATCGTCTCTGTCACATTGGTTGTTTACTCGACAGCACGCTCTAAGTGTGGTATCGAGTTTCTCCTAAAGGCAGAAACTGAGTGTGACCTCTCTGATACAGGTTTTCTCTGACTGAGGTTTCAGGTTTTGTTGAGCCAGCAAACACCACGAAAGCCTGACAATGTTGAGCTGACTTCATGGCTCACCCCTCAGGTCCAAGGTTACAGAAAACAAACAATGCTCATCTGTAACCCAACAATATCTGCTCCATCACAGCAAGCTTATTTCAAAAACAATATGACACACTGCATGTGCTTTAATTATAACTTCATCCTAACAGCACATTTTCAACAGTGATGTGACAGCATCTCGTACACATCGCTGCAGTTTAATTATACACGTTAACAAAGGCGACATTAACGTGAAGCACCAGCTAGAAATCAACACATGTAGTTTCACACTAAAAGAACTAAAGAGGTAGCACTGTAAGATAAGAACAGAGTCTGGCATCAGAGTGTTTTAAATACAGATTTGCAAAGCTTGCTCTAAAATGAGCATTAACAACTCTTAGTACCAAAATATTAAGAAGCTGATGAAGTCAGTCCGAGCTCCTACTGCAGGTCTGATGGTTTGTTTAATTTGTAGGCAGCATGTTGCTCACAACTTTTGAACTGAATTTTATAGACTGACACACGCAGTGAATCCTCTCTGGTTGGTCTGCTGGTCTGATGACTTTGTAAGAAGCTCATACTGGTTCGATTCAAACAGAATGTAATCGTTAATCTTGGTAAATATATTTTCTTGAGTAATAAACTTAAATGTACTGGGTGAAAATAAGCCTGTATCCCTGCTTCATTCATTACTGCTTCATTTCACGATCAAAGTGTGATGGTTCATTTGCTTAACAGTTTCACAATCAGCAGTTACACAGTAATACTTAAAATGTCTCTTCATTTCCAAAGTTTTTTTTTCCTACATCTTTGTTTACTACCACTGTGGATCTGCTTGAATCTTGAATAAATCCTGTCCTCCTTCTGTGGGCTTCGTAGCGCTTTAAAAGTCACACAAATACCCAGTTTTTTCTTCTGAAGAGAAGTCAACAGGGAATGTAAACACTTGTCAGCTTTGTCGATAAATCAGGGCTCACAGGGGCTTCTTCTTCCACCTCCAACTCTGATCAGAAACTCATAAATGGACCATTCAAATGTTGCGTGCTGTTCCGTGTGACCCTCCAACAGATATATTGCAGGAGTGTAGCATCACGTTACTTCCTTATTGTCCTGCTGTAGATTCTCAGTGAGTTTCAGCTTGGTTTAGTCTTCCTGATGGGTTATCAGTGCAGCATCAGTCTGTGATGAGGTTCGATTCGGCTCCATCACCATCTGGTCACAAAGCTCCTTCTCCTGAGGGCTCATTGGGATTTGAATGTCCCAATTACCTCTCTGTAGAAAAACAGACCAAGATATGGAAAACTTCACTAAACAGTAGATCATTTTACTTCACACTGAACCTCAAACTTAGTCTTTACTATGTGCATTTATGATTTAGGTGTCAGATATTCGGTAGAAACAATCATTATGAGCGTATCACCAGCAGGGAGCGCTAAAGTACTGCTGCTGTTAGGTTTGCTGATATAAATTGTGACTTCCTGGTTCAGATCTTTTACACCACAGGCAGCACTGACCAGAGACTGTGGCAGAGGCTCTTTGTGGAAATGTGTTTTACAGGTTTCTGGACGACAGTGAACGATGGACCAGAATAAAACAAACAGGAGTCCCGCCGTGATGATGACCGTCACCGTCAGGGTGGTCGGCGTCTTCCAGGCGGGAGCATCTGGATCTGCAGATGAGTCGGGAGTCAAAACCTCAGTGAGAGTGAGCGCTCTTTTAGTTCACTGCATAAATGCTGGCTTTAAAAAATGTCTGTTCAATGAGATTAGATCAGAATTAGATTCAGACCTTTTAGTTCTTTAGGTTCTTTCTGGATTTTATAGTTTTTCTCTGCTTCTAATGTTCAGATATTTTTTAATTGAACATTTAATTATTTTGAATAATTGATGAGGAAACAAGGACCACTGTTTCCAAAACTAAGAAAAGCCTCATCTGGACAACGAGGAAGCTTCCATATTTGAATTTAATTATAAGCACAAATCTTGATGTTTCTGTGAAGTAAAGACTTTATAGGCAGATCATGTGGAATAAGAGAAGTGTTGGGAAAGGGAAGACTTTTATTAAATGCTTTATTGCAAAGTGATGAAGGTTTTAACTTCAATGCACTACCAGGTATTATGAAAAGAGAAACATCAAATATTTTATGAAATACATTTTAAATTAGGAGGATATTTGAGTATGACCTACAGAGTTTATTGTAATTTAGAAACATGTTCAAAGGTAAAACATTTTAGGAAAGTAAGAAGTGTGTGTGTGTGTGTGTGTGTGTTTACGCCTGTACCTATGATGGACACACACTGGGTGTCAGTGCTGTTGCTGCGAAACCCTGAGTTCAGCACAGTCTGCGCTGTGACGCAGTACACTGCTCCCTCCTGCAGGGCGGCGATGTGCAGCACCTCTTCCTCAGCAGGCATCGAGTACACGACAGCCTAAAAGAGATCAAAATAACGAAAATGTGAGTTTTTTAAATTTTAAACAATGAAACAAAGAATACAACAAATGCATAAAAAACAAAGCTGAAGCTGTGTCATTGAATTAAGTCAGAAAGGAGGAGACACGGAAAAAGAAATAGTGTAAGAAAAGGGACAAAAAGCAAGAGTGTGGGGGAGAAAACATGAACATGTGAGAATAAAGGTGGATTAAAAGAAAAAAACAGAAAGAAAACAGAAACAAGGAAAGGAATCACAATCCCAACGAAAATAAATAATCAAGGAAAAGAAAAGAAAGGAGCAAATGCAAGGATGAAAACATGAACGAGAAATAAAGAGAAAAGGAGATCAAATAACGACCTGCAGCTTTTCGCCTTTTTTCCAAACGGTCACGTCGACGGTTGACGTCAGAGGAAGAGTCTCAAACGACACCTGGATGGCGTCGCCTGCTGACATCACTGTCATCTTTGGTACCGACAGTTTGGCTGCACACAGGAATCACTCTTTATTACTTCTATTAGAAAATGTTTTTTCTTGGTTCACAGGATCACAGGATCACAGGATCACGTGGGCTCTTCAAAGTAAGTCTCACATAATTAAAAATTCAAAAATTTTACTCTCTATCAGATATTTTAAAACCAAGGCCTCTTTCCTTCCTTTAGTGCCCGACTTTCTCTTCCTGCCTGACAGATACGTCTCAGCTGAAGACAAACATCCATAAACACACCGAACATCAGACGTAAAACAGACGTAGCTGTCAGCTCTCGTCTTACTTTGTCTCCTATTGAAGGCAGGGCTGAGTTTGGTCCAGGCGGAGCGCTGCGAGCCGCAATGCGCTCTGACCCGGATGTTGTAGTCAGAGTCTGATCCCAGGTCAGAGGTCAGGTCACAGTGACTGAGCGTGATGCGCTGGCACCCTGGAGCCTCCATCCACCTGCCGTTCTGATGCTCCAGCTCAAACTCTCTGCGGACGTCGAGCACAGAAAGTTTTAATTTTCTTTTAGATATTTCTTGGGAACAGAACAGAGACTCTAAAAGTTCATATAACAAACGGATTTCTTCATCCAGCACTTTATGAATCATTTAGTCATATTTATTGCATTTCAGTCCAATTATCCCCGTTTTTAATCTCCATATTTTTGTTAAACTACCTCTGTTGTACACAGTGCTTTGAGTAGAAAGCGATATAAGAATCAGTTCATTTACCATCTTTAGATGATAAACATGATGCCGACTGTGTGAACTCATTGTCTCCTGTGGTTGAACTTTCTTCCTCTTTCTGAGAAGCTACAGTGAGGTAATAATAGATTCTTCTCAAGAAAACTATGGTGCTGGAGCTGAGGAGGAACGTAGGTCTGAACTAGGGCTGCCACAAACGATTATTTTGATAGTCGACTAATCAGATCATCATCCATTGAACGTAAAACATACAGCTTATTGCACCAGCAGCATCTGCTCTTATATAACTATCATTAGCTTACAGCTTTAAGTGTTTAAGGTATGTGCTAACTAAAAATAAAGACAAGATGATAGTTTATTAAATTTTAATGACATTTGCAGATTGTTTCTGTGAAGTTTAATAAACTCCTTGCTATCTAAAATATAACAGGACACCGGAGTAAATTCTCCAGCATCTCACACTTCTGATAATCAGCTGTCTGCTTGATGTTTATTCAGCTGTGTAAAAACTATAACTTTAATCTCAGCCAAACCGATTTACTCAGGAACAAATAAAATACTAAAAAAAGCCAAACAATAACATTTTTAAGTTATCTAAGTGACTTATATATCATGTTTAACCTGAGTAGTGAAAGACAGCGGTGGGTTTGAAAATGATTTGCGGGAGTCCGGTGTTCTCACGGCTCTAGTTAGCCTAGCCCCCGGCTAGCTATCGAGCTAGTGGCTAACAGACGTCTCCGAAAACGTCGGAGCGCTTTTGAAAATATGTGGTGTCTTGATAAACTGAGCAGATATTTGAGGTTTACACAGCTACATTCTCGCCTGAAAATATGTTAAACGTTTATTTTGTGACCCAGAAAGAATAATAAGAGTAATATTAAAACTAACTAGCTGCCGCCATTGTTGGAAACGAGCTGGGCTGCGCTATGAATTCTGGGACACAGCTTCTTCTTCTTCAGGGTTTAACGGCAGCTGGCATCCTTGTACATGCAGTGCTGCCATCTTCTGTTTCAGTCCGTTATTACACTCTTAAATCCTACTACTTATTCCTGCGTCTTTTGTGATCTTACAAAGCTTCAAACGACGCGTCGACTATTAAATCAGTCGTCAACGATTTTGATAGTCGACTAATCGTGACTAGTCGACTAATCGTGGCAGCCTTAGTCTGAACAAATACAACCAATAAACTCTCTGCAGTGTAACAGCTTCTTTGAGTGTCACTGTTTATAAATCTGTCTTTCCTGCCTCAGTGATTCCCCTCCTGCTACTCGCTGGGTAATTATGACAAAGTTGTTTTTATTAGCTTCATTTAAAGGAGCTTGAAACTATTCACATTTAATCCTTTGAAAATACACCTCTGCACGACTCCACCTCCTCCACCACACACGCAGCATTCCTCATTGCATTTGTTGTTTATTGCACGTCACTGAAGATTTAGCACAGTAATGACTCACGATTCAGTCAGAGTCAACCTGTTAGGTGACATTTATCACGTTTATCAGAGGATCAGAGGTGTGGCTGAGCCTGTCTATGGTTAGGTTTTGGTGTGAGTTCATAAAGCTTTTACATCAGGATGATTTTTGTCTTTAAATATTTAAAATAAAAAGCAGAGGAATAATTAAGTCTATGGTTGTAAAACTTTAGAAACATCATTGCCTCTGCATGCATCTGTGTGCTTTCACTGTTGGGGTACATACACCCATACCCGAGCCTTACACCCATAGCCAGGCCTTACACTGCTGCTACGCCTCCAAAGCAGAAAGAGAGGGAGGAACCACAGGTGAGAGCTTTAGAACAGGTCTTATGATCTCACTGTTAGTGATTTGTTGGAAGTTATTTACTCGTTAATTTAAAGGTGTTTTTTAGACGTCTCTCTTGTGTTGTAGTGAGAAAAGACACTGAAATTCTCTCAGTTATGAAACTGTTACTGACTGAACAGCTGTAATCTTTGTGGCTTACACTCAGGTTGTCATGATTAGGCTGTGTGGCAGGCAGGAGAGGA